CCCCAAAACCCCAAAACCCCAAAACCCCAAAACCCCTTGTTGGGAAAGCCGATAGCCAATATTGTTTGAAAATATTTCAAAACATTCCAAAACTATACTTTCTTACTGAGTACTTGTACTAGTCCTGCTTGGGTTTGAACAACTCTACCATCCCCACAAATATTGAAGCACCAACGGCTAGCACAATTGCTCCTATTAGGCCAATTAATAATCCTAAAATTTGGAGTAGGTTCAGTACCTGACCCAAAATGAAATAATCCAGAATTGTCTGGAATACTGCAGCTAGATTAGCCATTGCTGAAGCTGGCCCTGCAATACCAACAGAGATGGAATAATTGATCAAAAAGGTTCCAAATCCTGCGATCAATCCTGACAAGACTCCTGGAATAAGGATTTGTTGTGTAATTAATCCATCAACTGTGATGTATTGAATAATCAGGTAAATAGTTCCAATCAGTCCATCCACAAACAAGGATTGCATTGCAAAGTTGTAGACATTGTAGCCTTTCATCACAAAATATTTTCTAAATTTGATTATAAAATTTCTTACATTAAAACACTTCTAACTCCAAATCCCAGAGAGGAACCTGTGGCTGCAAGTACAGGAATAAATGCTGAAATTCTTTCTTTGTTAATACCTATTTATTTTTAAATTAAGTGGAATATGGACAATCATAAAATTTGTTGTAAAACTTAACTACTTCTAAGCTGCTCTAAAATAAATACCTCCTGTAATTTCTCCTTCGTCCGTTCCTACTTGACTTAAACTCAGAAGAACTGCACAGGCAATCATAAATAGCATTCCTACATAGTCTGCTCCTCCCATGATTTCATTAAGGAAGATATATGCGAATATGGCACAGAAGATTGCACTTAGAACGAAGAGGGTTGACATTACTCCTTGATTAACACCAGCTTGTTCTGAATACTGGAAGGTCATTGCTACAAAATAAGTTCCGACTACATTTCCCAGGGAGGATAATATCATTCCAATAAAATATGACCAGTGAAACCTCTTGACTCCATTTTCATCTTCAAAAACTCAATCATTATCCCTAAAAGACCAGATTCGAATGCCATTAAAGTAGTTTAGGGTAAACGCGATCACCATATAGATAATTGAAATTATCATGAATCCAAGTGAGAGAAGATTCTTAGCAACGATTCCATTTCTACTCACTTCTCCCATAAAGAATGAAGCCACTCCAAAACATGCTGATGCAATTATTGATCAGATGAGCCATCCTTTGCTCCTCCAGAATTTCTAGAGGTTCAGAATGAAAGCTTACTGTTAGAACTCCAATGTTTTCATCTTCGGGGTCTTCTGCTTTCTCTATATTTGGCTTTAACAAGTTCAAATATTTGCAAAGAAATAGGCTTTTTATAACTAAAATTATAAAATCTTATTTAAAAGTTGGACATTAGGGTCATTTTCATGAATCAACCATATCGATAATGATCTTTAGAGGGATTTTAAAAATGTAATAAAGAAATATTGGGTAAAAGGTGGGGTACATACCTAACTTTGTAGCACCTAAGTACTCCTCGTCTGTAATTTTACTATATTCTCCTTCAGTTTTTGTCTTCTGGTGCATCTCTATAATAGTGTTAATAATTTTCCAAAATTCTTGTCAAAAATCTATAAAACCGCTAGCCCCAATCTCTAGGTCCAACTATCAATTCCAACCACTCAAAATCAGTCAAAACATTCTTAAAACGTATCTAAAAATCATTTAACGCATAATTCTAAATTTAATTAATCAAGACATTTCTAATCCTTCATAAATCCTTTAAACCCTTGGCTTCTGGCTGTTCCTCAGCCCATACTTACTTTTTAATTTAATAGTGTTCAATTAGCGCAACTTCAAAAGGGGTTTTGGGGTTTTGGGGTTTTGGGG